AGTGTGCTGCTGAAGTTTCTGTACCTTGACGTTCGTAATATCAAGCAGAGTCACCATTTCAAGTCATACGGTATAAAGTTAAGCTTCTTTTGGGATTTAGAAAAAAAAGTGTCTGGCCTTATTATGTTGTGGATTATGGAGTAAAAGTTGTAACAGGTTTGATTGCAGCCTCAGGTTTGATTATTGAGGCTCGCAAAGAGTTGGCAGCATCGCCAGTGAATAAAAACCACCCCGAATCATATCCCGTATCAGTCCTAAAGAACAGTGGACACATTTCCCATAAGCCAAATGGTAACACTGGTTCGTTTGCTGTGTAAACTCTACATGCTCAGAAAATAGATGGGTCGAGTCTGGTTTCACTGTTTTTGGCCAATAAACTTTAAGTAGTTAACAAATTTTATATTACTTGTAAAATTATTATTTTGAAGTAGTTTTCAAAATAATTGCAATTTTATAGCTATTTAGCTCATGTTCTGGTTTTTGCTTGCATTATATACTGTAACCAAAATCCCCCCAAAGCGGAGGGTGGGTTCCCAGACTAGGTAATTGTACATAAATGTATGACAAATTTAAAGTACCTAGTGTGATATTTAATGTTAATGTAAATAAAATTCTGAGAGTGCACTTGGCGTGTAGTAAGCTCTCAGTACAGGCCAGAGTCATTACTTGTTTTCGTGGGTGGGATGAATATGCTCAGCTATTGGTGTTTCAGCTGATGAGCTCTAGTAACAGTGCTGTTGCAAGATAATGTACTTGCATGGTGGTTTCTGCTGATAACATTAGTGTACTGAAGTGTACTTAAAATAGTGGGACATCCTTCAGTAATGCAATTGCAAATGGTGCCTTACATAAGGGGACTGCCGTTACCCACAAAACCCACTGATAAAGACTGACAAGGAAGTCTGATGTAAGGGAACCTTTGAGATGTGGGCATCCTTGAGTTACTACCACTGCTCTTTACTGTATACATTACTATGGCACGATGAGTTATTTTTAACCTTGTGCTGGTGTGGTAATAAATACACCAGCACAATAAATACACCTATAAGTACACAACTTTGTATTTTAAAAGAACTCTGGGTTGTGACACAGCAACACATGCAGATGATCACAATTTAATGGCGTACAGAAATTGGTATTTTGTGTCACAAATGCCTCCACATTAGAACTCACACACTGGCATTGATACTTTCAGCAACTACTGCTACAGCTGAGGTTGCAGAAGTTCTGGTTATTTTATGACACTGCTGTCCTTTTGGGGGGGGGGTAAAGAGTGGATTTTATTTCAACAGCAGCTAAACATTATTTTTCTCTGTTGTTTTTAGAAACAATCCTTTGCCAAATGAATTGTTTGCATCTGAATGCAGTGTAAATTGTAGCTGATGCCAGTAACATTTTAACCTTCTATTGCCTCCTTTTAGACTCCAGCAGCAGTGAGCAAGATCAGATTGTTGTTGCAGGACAGACCAGAATATGTAAGTAATGAATATGGCCAATAAAACATCAACCAATTAAGAAGACAAAGCTTCTTTATACATTGATTAAAAGTGTTCCTTTATTATAGCACCAAATAAAATAAAATTCTGTCATATTGATCTAGTCAGTTAGGTAGCGGACAGGGTTGTTAATCAGTTTCAGCTGCTTTGGTGTTAATGAAATTAACAGCAGGTGCACTAGAAGAGCAACAATGAGGCGACTTCCAAATCAGGAATAGTTTTATAGGTGGAGTCCACTGACATTTTTTTCCCCCTCCCGTGTTTTCTGACAATTTTTCACTACTTTTGCATTTGACTAGGGTTAGTGTCACTAGTGGGGAGGTGATGAGGATATACCTGGACCCTCCAGAGGTTGCACAGGTAGTTAAACTCCTCCAGGATGGCACATTAATGTATGCCATTGCAGTGTCTCCCAGCACAGTCTCAAGAGGATTGATAAGATTCTAGGAGAGCTGGACGGGGCCTTAAAAAGTTCTTAACTCATTAGCAGTGTGGGTATCTGCTCCTTTGTGCAAGGAGGAACAGATTGAGCATGGCCACAACCCTACAAAATGAGGCCACTGATGTCAATGTCTCTGATCAAACCATCAGAAACAGACTTCATGAGGGTGGACCCAACATCGTCTGTTGGGCGCTGTGCACACTGATTGGCATTTGCAACAGAATAGGAATGCATACCCAATTCCACCCGTGCTTTTCAGTATGTTCATTGAACATATGTACTGATGTAAAAGGGTTTGAGGAAACCATGGAGAGCATTATGCTGCTTTTTTAGCATGTCCGGTTTGGCAGTCAGTTAGTGATTGTCTGGGGAGGCACATCCATCCTAGACTGTCCAGGAGCTCAGTGATGCCCTGTCCAGATCTGGGATAAGATCCCCGGGAGCCTGGCGCGACGTTGTCAAGCATGCATACAAGCTTGCGGGGGCAATACAAACTACTGAGCAGCATTTTGAGTTGCTGCAATGAAATTTCAGCCAAATGGGCTACCCTGCCGCATAACTTTTACACTTTGATATTCAGGGTGTCTTTGAATTCAGTCTTCTGTAGGTTGCTAATTTTCATATCCATCATGTTGTGTGAAATTCTTTTCTTCCTAACACCGCACACAATCCATATCAGTATAGATACACCCCCATCACTAAATGAGCTTTGTCTGTATGGATTAAACAGCAACATGTTCACCTTATTTTTTCATTTGCTAAAGTTTCCTTCTTTTTTTTATGAATCATTTGACTTGAAATTAAATTTAAAAATGTTATAAGGAATATCTGTGGGGAGTAGACTACTAATGTCAGCAAATTGGTTTTTGAATTACAGCTCAAACTGTCAGTTATTTAATTAAAACAGGGACATTCAAGCATTCAGAGTGAGCTTTGCCTCTGTAGAAAGTATTATTGCTACCATTAAATTCACAGGAACAAAAGAAGCATTTTGAGATATGAGTAGTGTCAAGACGGTTTACTAATTAAACTGCAACATTTTACTGAGAAGTATAATAATGTTTAAAAATAAAACAATGAAGGTGTATTTTTTTTCTTGTATCATTTATCCTTCCTTTAGTGCATATATTACAAAAAAATAGGGGGGGGGAAGTCTGTTAACATATATCTGGTTCTCCATCAGATTGGTTTGAAGGTTGGGGTGAGAACACGTGGGTGTAATGGGCTGACTTACACACTGGACTACACCAAGGAGAAAGAAAAGTCTGACGAGGAAGTAGTACAGGATGGTAAGCTTTGTTTTATAATGAATCCAAGCTGAGAAAGGACTTTGTTGTAAGACTGATTGTGTTTGCCACACTAGGTTCTTGGGTAAGGTAATTGATTGAAAAAGTTTAAGGTTTTTATGTGTTTCCAGGTTCAGCAAGTGCAATTTTTAAAATGTTCCAGGATTAAAAATAAGATTAAAAAAAAAACCAAAACTAAATTTAGATGATCTCACATTGAGCTCCCATTTATCTTCTTGGACCCCTCTCGACTCCTTTCAGCATAGTTTGGTTTGTAAGTCTCTCAATGAAAGTCCCATTTTGACCACTTGTACTGTGCACACTCCAATTTCACCACGTACAATTTCTGTTTCAAACCAATCCAAATTTGGTGTGAATAATCATCACACAGACTGTGGTGCATGGCAGCAACTCAGTCATTTACAAAGGATTTATTTTTTCTTTTAGCCATATTAACCTGGGTTAATCTGGTTAACATCAACTCCACAGCTTTCCTTCTTGAGATGCAGGGAAATCTACATTAGGTTAAGTTGAGCATTTTCAGAAAACCATTTCTGTAACATTATCACAGATTGTACTATTTGTGTTTCACTGCCTGTAAACAATCCAACCCTAAACTTCTTAGATAGGGGCCGACCATAAGGCTGTAACCTGATAGTAGTGATGACATTGTTCTGACCTTTTTTCAGGTGTAAGAGTGTTTATAGCGAAGAAGGCCCAGCTGACCCTTCTGGGAACTGAGATGGACTTTGTGGAGTCAAAGCTGTCTAGTGAATTTGTCTTCAACAACCCTAACATCAAAGGCACATGTGGTTGTGGAGAAAGCTTCAACATATGAGCACTATGGCGCCTCAGTCCCCCTTCCCTGCTCCAGACCCTGTCTCACTGATAAAGACTGACAAGGAAGTCTGATGTAAGGGAACCTTTGAGATGTGGGCATCCTTGAGTTACTACCACTGCTCTCCTGCAAACCACTCGTGCATATGTAGTCATGAAATCCATGTATGCATATTGATGCTTAGAAGATTGTAATGCAATTGATGTAGTCAGAACCATCTTGACAAAAACGATTTTTAGGTTCAGATACCTCTGATGTAGACAACTGTTTATACTCGGCTCTGCAACTTTAAAAAAAAAAATCTCTTAGGACCTCAAAAGAAATGACTTTTTAGGTTAAAGCTATGTTATTTCATAAATTCAGTCAGGTCCTGCCATGGCTTGTGTGAGGAGAAAATGATACATGTTCTGAGAACATGTTCACTAAAGCTGAGATCAGATGGGATTTACACTGTTAAACAAAAGGATGAAGCATGATGTTTCAACGTTTGAATCTGTCCTCCAAAACTTGCAGAAAGCCAACAATCAGCTGTTTGACAAACACGCCTTTAAGGTGTGCTATTATCCAGGGTCATGTACCAGTAGTATGCAGAAGTGGAAGAGCTTGAGTGTCTTGAAACTGTTTTATCAGTTTGTAAAAGCTTTTTGAAAAGTATGTATTTATCTCTGTGTGTAAATAACTAAGATTTTAAATCCCTTGAACAACAACAATATACGCACAAAAAAACCCGCACAAAATATGCATCCCTCAAGTGAAACATGAAGTTTCTGTTTTTTCTTTTTGCTTGATGAAAGCCAGGATTTTGTTTGTATAGATGCTCTTAAGATTTGTAACCTGTGCAATATGTCAGTGTATATATGAAAGAAGATTAAATGGATCACACCGCAGCCTGTGCTTCATGTTCTGTTTGCATGTAGGACTCTGACCACCTGTTACTGTCAGAATCATCACAGTTGTCATGGAGATGTGATTCTGTGTCACTGCTGTGCCACAGAGTCCAGTTACTTGAGCCTGCTGCCCACCTGCCTTTGGCCTTTTTTTGCCTACATTTTGTAGCCAGGCTGGAGACAGAGAGGGAGGTACTGTCATTGTGAAAGATTCAACTCTATTTTAGAGCTTTAACAGTGAAATGATGCAATTTCAGTTCACTTTATTGTTGCTTATATTGTAGGTGTTCTACAGTCATGGACAGTCAAAACAAGGATGGCAGCAGAGAGTCTTATGAGCTCAAGGTATTAAAAATCAGTATGTGTAGAAAGATTGCCTTTTTATCTAGTTCTAGTTTCCCCTGATTTCTCTGAGGTGTTTCCCAAACACCAGCATCAGTCCATGATTTTTCATTAACCATTGCCAAATCTAAATGGTCCTAGTCTTAAGTGTTACTTAAAATAACATGAACACTGAAAGAATTTCTGAAACTCATCAGGAAACAACTGCTCTTTGTCAGAAAGACTCAAGAACAGCTCCCAGTAAAGTTCTACATCACAAATGAATTGGAACAGTAGCTGGGCTAGGCTCTAGCTATGGGTCATGAATGATGGCTGAAATATTTGATTGCCTTGTGCATTTTTTTTTTTTGTGAAACCCCTCATGTACCAGTGTCTTTTGTGTGTCTTAGATTTCAGAGTTATTAAAGGGTTTAGCTGAGAGGAAAACATCACCCAATGAGAGCATTCATGCTAACATCAGCCTCTCCATCACAGAGCCAGGAACTTCTTACAACCATGGGAACTTCAGATCTAGAGCTGTCCTCCCTAAAAAACTCTGTCAGCTGTCCACGTGTCAGTATGAGAGGCAAGATCATCTGAGAGAAAGCTTCAGTGCTCCGGTACTCGTTCTTGCCTGCATCCCTGCATCTCAGGCGGGACAAAAGCAACCCACGTTATCATTCCCAGATCCAGTCCTCTTTGCACACCTGGTGGAAAAATCAGAGATCTTTGCCTCTGACTCAGAACAGCTTGAAAAGCAAGAGATATATCCGTACATCCTAGGAGTGCAGGCTTGGAGGAAACGGGAGCAACGTGAACCACAATGTCTGCTGCCTAAACAGTTTCCCCAAACTGGTCAGTAAACAGTTGTAGCTGCAACTGTCACATGTAGGTTAGGGTGAACTAGGCTGAACAAGTTCACTGCTCTTAACTGCTCTAAGGTTGAATAGTAGCCATGGCTATTATGCAGTTACAGCTTAGTTAAGTGTGTTATATATCAGTATTAGTTGGGTGGACATCTAGATTTTGAGTATTCCATTTTTTAATGAAAAACTGCAGGAGAGCAGTTTTTATAACTTTCCATACACTGACATACATTTGGTTAGCCACAAACCTAGGCAAAGATGCATACTTTATTGAAACTGACAAAAGAATATCTAAGATCTGAAAACTAGTTTCTCATGGATTTTTCATGAGCAAATATTTGTTGAAAATCATAATAAATAATAATAAATGTGAGATGTTAAAATGTTTGTAAATTCCCAGTGAGATTAAGAATGGGAGATGATTCACATGATGGAACTCCAGACTTATCAAAAAATTGGAAAATTTTTTAATAAAAATTGGAAATATTTTGATACATATAATTACTAGATCAGCGATAGATCCTTCACTGACTGTTGCTTCATCCTGGTTCAGGGACAACCAACAAATGGTTCTTCAAGGATTTACTGGACCTCCAGAAGAAGCTGTTTTTGGGTGCCTCAAAGAAATCTGGAGCCCTGAGGAAATCTCAGACACCTTGGAAAACTTCACACCACCAGTCAGAATGTTCTTCTTTAATGCTTAGGAAAGTTCAAGACTGACAGAAGAAATAAACTGCAAATGAAACTAGCACTAACACTCAGTGGCAGAGTGGTCATTGAGGCAAGAAATGTATAATTACGTGTCAGAATGGTACCATGTTCCATAAAGCATTCTGAGACTTGAAAAGCATAGTCCTAATAATATGAAATATCCACTAAAATCATTATTAGATATGCAGGGAATAAAGTTAGATATTTTTTTCACCCAAAAAGTAAAAATAAAATATGCAGATTTATAAAGACATCTCAGCACAAACATGTTTCTTATTGTTTCATGCAAAAATAATTTTTAAGTGTTTAGTGGCCAGGTTAATATGTCAAACAACAAAAACAGACATGGATTATATACTCAAATGCATCTTTTTCTGTGTATGACATTGTGAAACTGGCAAGGTTTACTTGTTACTTTTCAGCCAAGGCTTCAAAGGTTCTAATGAGAGCTCCAATAACAGTTAATTGTACCGGAGGTGGCGAGAGATCAAGCTGTGCAGATCTTGTGTAAAGTGGCGTACCTCAGCATTGTCTCCCTGTTTACCTTCCTCAAGAGTGGCTTCTTAATACTCACCTGTCACCTGAGAATGTTTCTGGGTCTTTTTGTTTTTTTGTTGTTGTTTTTTTAGCCCTGCTTCTTTTTGTCCTCCATTTGTCCGTTATTTTAAGCACAGTACACACCACACCAATATATGCCACATTTTTAGCTAATAGTTCTTCAGGAATCAACTTTTTGGTGAATAAGTAATATTACACTGACTATCAATCTGTATTATCGTTTATGTTTTTGCAGATTTAACTAATGAATTGGAAACAAGTTATGTACTTTTACAGTAGGCTGCTAATAACAAAGAACCTAAAGATACAATTTAAAACTGTACTTATCTATTGTATGTAGAAGCAAATTACTTTTTTCATCCATTTTTATATATTTGAATGATTCATAGGTCAGTGTTTAGTGGTTTAAAAACATTAGTAATAAAAAGAAAACTGAAAATGGTCAGATTTATCAGCTTGACTGAAAATGTGTGGCAATATCTAAATAACATTTCTGAAAGACTTTCAGAAAGTTTGATAATGATAGATCCATTCTCTTCCACTTATCTGGACTCAACAGACTTGCTCATAAGACACAAATTTTGAGCATAGTGACTCTTTTCACTTGGCACAGAGGCAACAGCTTATTAACATTAACCTGACGAGGAAATAGAAACAATTTTAGCTTTTACAAGGTCACCCAGTCCTGGTTAATTACAGGTAATGATATTGAGTCTCTCTCACTCTTACACACACACACACACACACACACACACACACACACACACACACACATACATAAATGACGCAAAGCAAAACAAATCGTCCATCATTTCCTACATGCCAACCCACCAGGTCTAGTGGTGTATAACAGTCTTTTCATGTCAGACCTGCAGAGAATCCATCACCTTGGTTTAGAACGCAAAGAGAGGAGCACTGCCGAAGCAAATAAGCACATCACAGGTAAGAGAAGCTTATTGTTAAAAAAAAAATCACTAAATTTGCTTATATATTAGTTTATCTTTACTTGATGCCATACAGTCCTGTCCAATTATTTTCAGTTTTCTAAAAATAAATACAAATGTATAAAAGTATCTCAAATGTCAAAACATGTCATCTAATACTTTTGTTAAACCACCTAAATTGAAGCTGATAGTTTTCATTCACGTCTTGGTTATTTGATTTAAAATCTCTGTTGTCTTTGTTCTTTTGCATTTCTTGCACTCTGCTTTTATATTGAGAATTATACACTGATATGTTTATATTTATTGCAGAAATATCATTGGCTTTGATGCGTGAAGATGATGGTGGAATCAGACTCTGATCACGGTCCAGAGTGTTTGTCTGTATGCAACAAGTCTGCAACTCTGACAGGCCAAGGGCCACCGGTGCTGGTTAATGCCTGGCTGGTCCCCACTCTCTTTGGCTTCATCATGCTGGTCGGTCTAGTTGGGAACTCTTTAGTGATCCATGTTATCACCAGAAGATGAAGACTGTTGCCAATTTCTTTATAGGTAAATATCTCTGAAACACTGCAGTTTTTAGAAAGAAGCTCTCATATGTTTGCTTGTTTTAACTGTTCCATGAAATGTTTTATTTTTTCAAATGTAAATAAAACCAAAATTTGTTTAACATATGATTGAATAAAAAAACAAAACAGTAACTCTGCTGTTCTGTCCCTTTGATTCCTTTAATTTAAATATTTACCATGAAAAGCCATTAACAATGAAATAAAAATAAATGCTAAGACATGTAAAAGACTTCTTCAGCAAGTGAGATACACTACACAGAAACTATGACAGGCTGGAAAAATGAGAGTGGCAACAGAATTGAAACAGAATATCAGTCACCATTAACTGTTCAACATTAATGATGTTAATGACTTCAACAGATGTTAATTCAAACACCATGTAAGTGTTCTGCAATAATAATATAATTGAAAAGTCCAGTGAGACATTAGCTCATTATACAAAGTACATCAGATAACTAATGTGCAGCTTCCAAATAATGCAAAAAAAAAAAGAGAAAGAAAAATACTGAAAAAAAAAATACTTTTTTGAATTTACACTTATAAAAATAAAAAAAAATTTGCACTTTGATAGCTGGTACACAATATCAGTTTAATAATTGGCTAAAATTAAAATACTGCTAATAAAAAAGCACTGCCATAACATCCAGGTTAACATCAAATTAATAAAAATAATAAATAAGGCTGTCAAAGTTACATTAAAAATTCCTGGTTTATGTCCTTTGTGTTGCTCATGCAGTTGAAATTTCTGTGAAAGATAAGTCTTCCTTGACAGATTTTTCAAGTTTAAAAGTTCTTTACTTACACAAGCTGATGAGGAGCACAGCTTCATGCCTGTTAGTTCAACTTCCTTCTGTCTTTGAAAAATGCCCAGAATCACCACTGAATGAATACCCATAACTATCAGTTATGTAGCGTAGCCATCCAGTCTCTTTGGCAATGGCATTACTATCTGTAGACATCCCCAACTTTCTAAGACACATCAGATGATTACACATGAGGCATCTGATTAAACTACATAAGTAAATCATAGCTGTAAATAAGGTTATACCACTTGAACCACTTGTTAAGAAACATCCTACCATATAACCCCCATTTGTGCAGCATAGCACGGCTCAATCAGCTTGTGGCACTGCTGTGTTTTTTTTAAAGCCTGGGTTGCTTTGATGGCAGCATTCGGCTCCTTTTTTGGGGTTGTATATTTTTCCCGTTCTTCCTGACAATACCCCATAGATCCTGTGAGGCCAGTTAGGCCAGGTCAGGCCAGTTATCTATCAAATCAAGCAGTAATAACATGGTCAGCATGTTATGTTATTAGATGTTTAGTACTGTGGGCAGGTGCTGCTCGAAAAGGAAAACTGGATCTCCATAATGCTTGTTAGCAGATCAAAGAATGAAATGTTCTTCTGGCTGAGACCAGTTACAACATCAGAAGACGACATAGCATGCTGAACACCTTGGTTTCTGGGCCTCTCTACTCTTCCTCCAGACTCTAGACCTTGATTTCCAAATAAAATGCCAAATTTACCTTCATCTGAAAAGAAGACTGTGACATTGAGCAAAGGTCTATTTAGTGCCCAGATAAGCTCCTCGATATTACAGGGAGTGCAGAATTATTAGGCAAGTTGTATTTTTGAGGAATAATTTTATTATTGAACAACAACCATGTTCTCAATGAACCCAAAAAACGCATTAATATCAAAGCTGAATGCTTTTGAAAGTAGTTTTTAGTTTGTTTTTAGTTTTAGCTATTTTAGGGGGATATCTGTGTGTGCAGGTGACTATTACTGTGCATAATTATTAGGCAACTTAACAAAAAACAAATATATACCCATTTCAATTATTTATTTTTACCAGTGACACCAATATAACATCTCCACATTCACAAATATACATTTCTGACATTCAAAAACAAATCAGCGACTAATATAGCCACCTTTCTTTGCAAGGACACTCAAAAGCCTGCCATCCATGGATTCTGTCTGTGTTTTGATCTGTTCACCATCAACATTGCGTGCAGCAGCAACCACAGCAACCAACAGTACACCTCTCTGTTCAGAGAGGTGTACTGTTTTCCCTCCTTGTAAATCTCACATTTGATGATGGACCACAGGTTCTCAATGGGGTTCAGATCAGGTGAACAAGGTGGCCATGTCATTAGTTTTTCTTCTTTTATACCCTTTCTTGCCAGCCACGCTGTGGAGTACTTGGACGCGTGTGATGGAGCATTGTCCTGCATGAAAATCATGTTTTTCTTGAAGGATGCAGACTTCTTCCTGTACCACCTTCTTCAAGGTGTCTTCCAGAAACTGGCAGTAGGACTGGGAGTTGAGCTTGACTCCATCCTCAACCCGAAAAGTCCCCACAAGCTCATCTTTGATGATACCAGCCCAAACCAGTACTCCACCTCCACCTTGCTGGCGTCTGAGTCGGACTGGAGCTCTCTGCCCTTTACCAATCCAGCCACGGGCCCATCCATCTGGCCCATCAAGACTCACTCTCATTTCATCAGTCCATAAAACCTTAGAAAAATCAGTCTTGACGTTTCAGCTTGTGTGTCTTGTTCAGTGGTGGTCGTCTTTCAGCCTTTCTTACCTTGGCCATGTCTCTGAGTATTGCACACCGTGTGCTTTTGGGCACTCCAGTGATGTTGCAGCTCTGAAATATGGCCAAACTGGTGGCAAGTGGCATCTTGGCAGCTGCACGATTGACTTTTCTCAGTTCATGGGCAGTTATTTTGCGCCTTGGTTTTTCCACACGCTTCTTGCGACGCTGTTGACTATTTTGAATGAAACGCTTGATTGTTCGATGATCACGCTTCAGAAGCTTTGCAAGTTTGAGACTGCTGCATCCCTCTGCAAGATATCTCACTATTTTTGACTTTTCTGAGCCTGTCAAGTCCTTCTTTTGACCCATTTTGCCAAAGGAAAGGACGTTGCCTAATAATTATGCACACCTGATATAGGCTGTTGATGTCATTAGACCACACCCCTTCTCATTACAGAGATGCACATCACCTAATATGCTTAATTGGTAGTAGGCTTTCGAGCCTATACAGCTTGGAGTAAGACAACATGCATGAAGAGGATGATGTGGACAAAATACTCATTTGCCTAATAATTCTGCACTCCCTGTATGAACACAAATACTCAAAATTCCCAACACATTAATTGCATATATTTCTCGTAGTTTCACTTTCTACAAGATATAACACAATAAAATACACCAGACACCACAGATTTAAAAATGTTTTGTTGCACAGTGATAGTAACACCAAATCCACACTTTTAAGCTTAAACTTCAAAACTTACATTTTAACTACTGATTTTATCTATTGTTCTGATTTTATCTGTTTTGATTTTTTTTTTACATACTGTTTTGTTTGTTTGTTATTTAGTTAGTTTGTTTGTTTGCTTGTTTTAATCAATTTTAAATCATACTTTTTATTTGTTTTTGTTTCTAATGTCTCTGTAAAGCACTTTGAACCACCTTGTTGTTGAATTGTGCTATACAAATAAACTTGCCTTGCCTTGCCTAGTAACAGACATACCTTGTGTTCCTGGTTTTCAGGTGACTGCACAGGCGACATGTGTCACTCTGTCAGCAATGAGTGTCGACTGCTGCTACGTGACTTTGTACCCTCTGCAATCTCTGAGACATCGGACGCCTCGGAGGGCTCTGGCCATCTCCCTGTCTATCTGAATAGGTATCATACAAACATACCATGCACACATGTGCACCCACATCACAAATAGGACTCTAGTTATTTAATCCATGAATTTAATGGACAATTAATTATCCAATAATTGATGTGTGCTTGTTTTTCTGTCTATAAACACCATTCTCAAAAAGTTTTTAATTAATTCTGATAAAACTTTGTCAGAAAGTTTTATAATTTAGGACCCCAAAACATCTTATAGGATAGAAAAGAATGAAAATATACTACGGGAAAGAGATGACCTATTATCCATTATCTTCTCCTATATAAGGTTTGTGTAATCAAAACAAACATCTGCTACACTTATAGGATTTTACTTGGATTACAAACATCTTAAAGTACATTTCAAAGAACAAATACAACAAAATGAATATACACAAAATGCAGTACTGTTCCCTCAAAGGTAAATCCTGTCCAGAGAGTGAGCTGCCTTCGCGAAGGTTTGCACTTCTCTGAGTGCTTCTTGTTATTTTTTATTTGCCACAGTATAAGAAGGAAAACTACATGCCATGTCCCCTCTTCTGTCCATCCCTGTCGCTGGAGGTGGGATACTGCTGGTTCGGTCCTCAGACATACTGCAATGATGTTTTTCCCTCTGCCCATCTCCAGAGAGCTTTCACCATCTACAGCTTTCTAGCTGTCTACCTCTTACCCCTGCTTACCATCACTGTGTGTTATGCCATCATGCTCAAGCGGATGGGCCAGCCCAACATGAATCCCATTGGCAGTGGCTACCAAGTAGGAAATTATTTATTTTTCACATATTAAATCCACAGAGAATTTCAAATATTCCTTTTAATTACAAAGACTTGGCAATGCCTCCTTTAATCCAGTTAAATCGTGCAGTAGCAGTATGGGCGCGAGTCTCTCGCATGGTGGTGGTGATGGTGTCTCTATTCCTCGTCTGTTGGGGGCCGATCCAGGTTTGCATCCTCCTGCAAGCTTTTGGCCTCCAGAGTTACATCCTATATAAGGTGATCTCTTTTATTACTGATTAGATGGTCATCGTTTCATTTTTGTTTTATATGTAACACCAGCTCAATACAATAAATGCAAAATCAATATCCTACAGTATTAAAAAGAAAACCCAAACAACCAGCTGTCAAGCAGGGTGATGGGGAGGAAGAGCTCCCTTTTAACAGGAAGACCGCAATTTTTTTTATTGTTGTCAAGGTTTTGGGAAAACTACAACTACAAAACTATTACTCAGATGTTTGGTTATCCCATTGAAGTTTGTTGTTGTGAAAATATCTAGCAAGAAATGACAAGAAGATCCAGATGTAGGGAAGTTTGCAAAACCCCTAACAGGTGTCATCGCTGGTGCAGCTAACCCTTGGCTCCTCGCTAGAACCTCAGAACAAAGTCAAATACACCCAGAATTTACTTTTTTTTTCTCAGGATCTATGTCTATCAAATGCCAGGGGTGGGGAGTGCTAGGGAGTGTCATTTTCAGGGTGTCACTAGGTGAGTATACAGTCTTAGTGTAGCTCTTAAAGGTGTGACAGTGAACAAAAGTACTGTGATGACAGAAACCGATGCTGTCGCTTTAAAAACAGCGACAGCGTTCGATTATTTTCATCTGCCACAGGTTTCTTCCTGTTAAGACGGAGTTTTTCCTTCCAATAGTCCAACATTATTGTAGGTTCTTTACAATATTAAGCACCTTGAGCTGACTGGTGTTGTGATTTGAATTGAAAAACTTGAAAATCGAGTGCGCCTTAATTTTGCATTCACAGCTGAAGATTTGGGGTCACTGCATGTCTTGCTCCAACTCCTCTGTAAACCCGTTTGTGTATGCTTTCACGGGCAACAACTTTAGAAAGGCTTTCAAGCATGCCTTCCCTGCCATTTTGCTGTGGCGCTCAAGAGGGAGAGTCAGAGTGGGAAACACAGACGCAGAGGAAGGAGTAGAGACGGATCATCAGGCACCCAAAGGAGAAGCAGAGATGCACTTTCTTTCATCTGGCCCCTAAAGGCCATGCTGAGCATTTGGACACGGTGCACTCATTGTTTATTTATACTTTCTCCTGAGATGAGAGCAGTCTGATCACTGTAGTGTATGTTTGCTTGGACATGCACACACCCACACACACACACTGAAACATTGTATAATTCCATGTGATCTCTAAAAAGGGACAAACCGGTCAAGCGAGTCTCGTGTGTTTCACGAGCTGCTGAAATACAATTATCTCTGTCACGCTTTTCTAAGTTACGGTTAAATTAATGCTGTCAGCCTGACTGCTAGAGCTTCTGGTTTTACCTTTGTTACAACTTCGTAGAAAAAACCCCAAACTGTGCCAACAGCAACTGCAATGGACTATTTCCATTTGATAGAAAATTGTCTTGCTGAATCTTTGGTAACACAACACTCTGTGCAATACTGTGCAGTAAACACTCAAACTGACTCAATTTAGTCTGTTGTGCTTACATTTTCAAACGTTTGTTTACTTTCATCTCATCTTTTTTAAAAATGCTCATGTTCACACTTCCACCTTTGACTGTGGGAAATGTTGTTATTTTGAGGACAAATATATAACAAATACATATCAGTCTGCGTTTGAGTTTGGTTAGGATTAAGAAGAGATCAAAGTTTAGATTCAAATAGTGAAAACCGTGTCTTTTTTGTCAATTGTGTGTGACAAGGTGGTACAGTGTGCAGCTACTGGTGAGAGTGACTTCAGACGAAGGGCATTTACGTCTTTACGTCCATCCTTACAGAGAGCAGATGTGTAAAAGACACTGTGGGATGTTCATTTTCTCTATCATTGCAGATATTAGACAGAATCAAATCTGAAGGAAAACACAATATGTTGCGTTTGTTTGCTCGGATATATTATATTTTGTTTTTTTTTCCACGATGCTACCCTATGTAGTCTCTTTTGATGTTGACTTTTTGAGGAAGCAGCTGTGAGCGCATGCGACTTGTCTCCATTAAACCCCGTTAATATTCTGCTCTTCAGATGTTTTGCTGTTGTGGGGGGAAATAATCTGTTCAGTGGTATTTATAAGTAGAAAGTGTGTTTTTCTCCTTCTATAGTGTGCAGTTAGACACAATACATCAAAATAGGAAAAAAATAGAACGCTGAAACATAGTTCTATGAAAAGTAATCAGAAGCTATCAGGATAATAAGGAAACATTTGATCAAAATGTGTCTAAATGTTGAAACTCTTTCTTTCTTATCCAGGCACGGACACAATATGAGAGGTTCCATATAAGCTCTATGGGATGTTGTTATTCCTCCTCTTCTCAATGCCATAACTTTGCAGAATCAATTCATGCTGGCAAGCAATATTCCAAATTCCTGCAGCATTGATTAATTGATCATTGAATAAACAGGATACTGCGAAAGAGCAACCAGTGCTCTTCCTGCTATACGTGTAAAGTGCTTTCAAATTACTTGAGACTTGAAGTTTTGCTCGCTCACATTTTCGGTGGCGTGACGGTGCACTCAGCCAGTCACGTGACAACGGGTCCTAGTTTGGGTCCTGGTGGTGCCTTCAAGTGCTGCCAAGTAAGTAAGTAACTTCGTTGGCGTGAACTGGTCAAAAAAAAAAAAAGGCAAGTGTAAGATCAATGTATAGTTTATTATATATGTGAAATAATTGAAATGAGGAAAAAAATAATTTGATCTCAGTTAAGAAGTTTCTGCATGATCTAATTTAATAAATAATTTAAGTTAAATATTTTACAATGTTGTAAATCTTTTAAAATCAAGTTGTTACGGTACTTAAGATCAAAGGGAAAACAGTCTGGGAAAATTTCACAGTAGTTATTTCACAATAGTTTAAATATAATAACACTAACCCAGAGTACTCTTACTCTAATATTGACTTAGGGGAACATTTGAGTACAAGGTGCTTTGAGAACAATGTTTAATTATGCTTTCAATTTAAAACAGGAGCCACAGAGGTTTTTTTTATATATAAAATAATTGTTTAATATTTGAATTGGAGCTTATCCACTCGGACAGCCTAAAAGGTTAATCCGCCTGTTTGAACGATTGACAATAACTACTAAAAAATAATTATAATCAGTAATTACTGGAGTTAACGTTTTCCAAAAACGCTTCGTCCATATGATCAGAATCAACTTTTTGAGGATTTGAGGATGCATCATGCATTAATACTCCCTTACTTGGTCAACTATGCATTGTAACCTAGATCGCATGACTCTATTTTGTCAATTGAGGCTACAAATTTACGTGGCGTTCCCAAACGCAACATGCTATATACATAACTGGCATCCAAGCCAACCAGTGCTCGAGGAGGAGAGCAAAGACACGGCCGAAGCTGAGGCTTTCACAACGCTGAATCTGGTAGAGACAGCAGGCAGGGACGGCATCCACCAGCCGGAGTTTCGAGCTCGCTTTACACCATGGAACACAAACAAACCATCAACTTTGGAGCCGGACCTGCAAAACTTCCCCCCTCTGTAAGTTGGTATCCCTCTCTTGCTTGTGTAACGTTAATAATGTGCAGAAAAAAAGCGAGCTAATTGCAAACTGCTTTAAAGCAAATTGCCACTTTATAATTTGTTTAACCGCAGGCGGGTCGCGGACGCGATGGCCTAATTTTCCTTTCATTTTCGTAAAGAGAGACACTGTATGATGAAAAGGACTTTGGTTTAATGCCATTGTCAGCTTGGCATTTGTCAACAGTAGTGATGGGTCGTTCGCGAACGAAATGGCTCTTAGAGCCGGCTCTTTGACGTGAACGACGCGAGCCGGGTCCTTATCGCGAGCCGTCACGTGGGGTTTTTTTTTTTTTTCTTTCTCTCAGCCTCTCTCTCGCACTTTTTTTCCGCTTCACTCTGCACGCGAGCCTTGTGCTTTACGCTGGGCAGAGGGGGGAGGGGCGGCAGTTACACTCAGTAGCACAGGAACAGAGCCAGAGAGAGAGAAAGAGAGGCAGGGACAACAACATTAGAAAGGTATAGTAATCATCCACAACTATTTTCAGTTGCAGATGATAAAGGATTGAGAAAGTTTATTCATGCAGGTCCATATGACAGAGAATATGCATGTTCTTTTAGTTTTCATATTATAATTTATATTTAATTGTGTTGTGGTTTGCAGTGTTTTGTGTTCTTTTCACTTTAAATTTGTGAAAGGAAAAAGCTGAAAATTTAAATAGTTAAAAGTTGAAATGTGAATAGTTGATTTTTGTATTATATGATTTATTTATTACATTTTATGTGGCGTGAATAAATAAAAGTATATTTACGGTGGCCCCTAGAGACAAAGCACATACAAACTTCAAATCACGTACGAACTCTGAAGCATGTACAAACTCCAAAACACGTAAAAACACGTACAAACTCCAAAACACGTACAAACTCCGAAACACGTACAAACTCCGAAACACGTAAAAACTCAGAAGCATATAAAAACTCAAAACACGTACAAAAGACAACAGAAGTGCTCCAGGATGCTGGGCGCAGTGTTGAGCCTTTGTTATCTAGTGGCTACACAAGCCAGCAAGTACCAACGACCGGATTTGGTGTGTGGTAATAACAGGTAAATGAACTTTTTTTTAAATTATTTGAATATATATATGAGTGCCTGTGTATAAATACACAAACAATACACACATGCTTTCAATTGTGTAATTTAAGTGATCTAGTAGCTCTGCTTTGGAAGTTCAGTTCATGCTAGAAATGTGTTTTGGAGTTTGTACGTGTTTTGTCTCTAGGGGCCACCGCATATATTTATATATAAACATATATAAATAAAACCACTTGTTTTTATGTTAGTAATTCCTTTTGTGCATAATTTTATATTATTGTGAATAATAAATTAATTAAAGCAACAAAACAACCTGAAGAGCCGGTTCGGAGCCGAAAGAGCCGGCTCATTTTAGTGAGCCGAACCGAAAGAGCCGGATCTCTAAAAAGAGCCGGAAATCCCATCACTTGTCAACAGTGTGTTGAGTTGCATCAGCCTCATTCATTCATGTGGAAACCTGCTCCTTTGTGGTTCACTGGCAGCGGCAGAGAGAACCTCTAGATGGCAGAAGAAACACGCTTAGATGAGAACAAATCACAGCTCCCAGATAACACTGACGCCTCCCGCGAGGTCTTTTTGGTTGACTGCAGACTTAATGTACTCTGAGTGGTTTGTACTGCTGCCTGCGGGGCTTTGTAGAGCCCAATAAACCCAATGAACTGTAAGGATTTAGTCATGAGGCGTTTAAATGGTCAAAACAAAATAAAAAATTGTGAAACGGAAAGAGACTGACAAGTAAACTCACCGGTGTACAGTCGCAATGCTGATTATCGACTGTTTTAGTGCTTAGGCAAGTTTGTTTTTTGCTATTTTGCAGCCCACCAAGATTTTGGCTTTCCAACATTTTTTCAAAATGTGGTTTAATTTACTCATGCTTAAAAACACTGGAGTTTATCAAATGGCCAGAAACAGCATATATACAAAACACATGTACAAACTTCTCTTAGCAGTGACTCTGCATTAGTCATTTACTAAAAGCCCTTTTTCTAGACTAGAAAAACCTTAATGTGATAGCAAAGTTTACGTTTAGGAGCATCAGTTGGTCATTGTATGATTTTTATTTTTTATTTTTTAGGTCAAATAAGATTTGTGGAGCTAAAATGTGTATTCATTAGTTATTAATAGCAGTCCTATTTATAAGATAGTGATCAGAGGTGCAACACATTTTTAATTTTAATTTACAAACCAACATGTTGGTTAGTAACAAAGACCAAAAACATCTATGTGGTTTCATTAACAGCTGTTTTCTTGTTGCAGTCCAAACTTTATTTTTAGTGCAATGAAAAAAAAACGTGTTCAGCTACCATCATAGTTTCTGAAGAGATATCCAAAAGTTGATTCTGTTCATCTGGACGTAGCGTTTTGTGGGAGAAACGTTTCGTCACTCATCCAAGCGACTTCTTCAGTCTTAGCTGACTGCAGGTTTCCCCAAATCTTATAAAGATTATGCTTTATAAGATTTATACTAAGATCTTACTAAGATCTTAGTAAGATTATACTAAGATTAAGGAACTGACCTCCCAGCCCATTGTTCCTCAGTGGGCTGGTTTCAGTCATTATGCAAATGTACTGTTTGGGGAAGTTTGGGGAGAATGAAGAAGTCATTTGGATGAGTGACGAAACGTTTCTCCCACAAAACGCTACGTCCAGATGAACAGTATCAACTTTTGGAGATCTACTTTCCTGGATGATTGAGAATGCATCAAGACGTTTTGAAGAGATACTTACACGATGTGTTGCAGGTGCTGCTTCAAGCTCAGAATGAGCTCCTAAACTACAGCGGCACTGGCATCAGTGTCCTCGGTGAGTAGAAAAACAGATCAGTACACAAACATGTTAATGTATTGTCTCTAGATTTTTCAGTAAAGGATGACTCTGTTGAGATGGATCCTTTGTGACCTCTTGTTAATTGTGGCCTGTAGCTGACATTTCATACAGAGTGTGTGTTTACTGTACTGTGTCCAGATTAATAAACCTTGAGAGATTTCCATACGTCCAGATATTTCATAGCTGATCACTGCTTCCTCAGTCTCTGGAATCTGTGAAATATTAAACATCACAAATATCACATTTTCATCAAAGGTGTGTGTACGTCATATACAGTGAAATAAAATCCCCCAAAATGTTCTTTTTGTACTAGAGATGAGTCACCGATCATCAGACTTCAATAAAATTATCAACAAAACAGAGAGCCTCCTGCGAGAGCTGTTGTAAGTAACTTTTGTTGCTCTGTTGTGTTTCTTCAGATATGCTGCACTATAATCACGTCTCCTAACAAAGGTGTTCATTTTTTTTCTTGTAGTTTCAGCTGACAGTACATAACGTGTTGTAATCATAGTCAGACTTCTTTTAATGCATAAACACTCGTACCCTTTTTTCCTCTTTTGTACAACAGCGCTAATGACAGGCAAACCGGTCAAACGAGATGGTTGTGCACCTTTTCTTCGAAGTTATTCTTAGACAGTCACATTGCTGTCAATCCGATGGAGGCAGAGATGTACAAGAGATAGCTGCATATTTTACCTATCACATTTAAACCACACTAGTGTCTCAGCTGAGTAAAGAGATGCTTTTTGCTTTCAAACTGTACCTTTGCTTGGTTTAAGAATCAGACTTCCTGTAAGTTTACATCTGCACGTGATTATGTCTGGATTGCCTTTAACACACACTGGTATTTTTTTTTCTCAGAAATATTCCAGACAACTACAAGGTGCTGTTCCTGCAGGGTGGTGGGTCTGGACAGTTCAGCAGTGTTCCTCTCAACCTGATTGGTCTTAAGGAGGATAGGTGTGCCGATTACCTGGTGACGGGCACGTGGTCGGCCAAAGCAGCAAAGGAAGCGGAAAAATATGGCAAAGTGAATGTTGTTCACCCAAAACTGGATAGTTACACGAGTAAGTGTGCAGACTGGCAAGTTTTTTCTTTTATTTATTTTTTCCTGCCATGACATTAAAACAGGAAAAAAAGGAAAAACTAGTATAAGCTGAAATAGTCAGTAATTGTTATTCTGACTGCATCAGGACAGTGAGTCTACAAAATCTGGCTGTGTACCCGGGCGGTTGCATAATAAACAATAGAGCCAAGCACCAGTGAAAGACTCTGGTATGCAAGTGGTCATTTCCACATGGTTGGGCGTAATATTTAGAATCAACGCTACGGTGCTTTGAATTACAGTACTGTGCAAAAGTCTTAAGCCACCCTTCATTTCTTTATATTTTGTGCCAGGAAAACAGACTTTCTTCTAATTTTTTGCAGCGGTTTTGAGAAGTAGTTTTTCAGGCTTTCTGAAGGTCTTTCAAAGGTTTTTTTTTTTTTTAAATTAAATCAGTTACTCCACCTGACCATTTTTAGAGGCGTTAATCATTCAAACTTTAAAAAAGCCATGTAACTCCAGGGAGTAAACCAGTGTTGCGTCTACACAAAGTAGTAAAAGCTGACAAAGAACAATTTTAATTGAATTATATTTAGACTCTATCTGCATATTGCAAACATACATTTTCTCCCGTTTCTTTAATTGAATCTATGGGAAAAAACAAAGATAACATGACCTTCTTGGGGACACTCCCATATGGCTTAAAATCTGGGACTCTCCACCAATTGCTGTCAGAGCTGAAGAAGCTTCTCCGATGAGAGGTGAAACATCTTCAAGGAAACTTAAATAAGTCCAGAAGCTTTTCTTTCCGAACTCCTTAGACTACGATGACCTGGATGAGTGAGAATCTTCACAGACAAAGATAACACTGTTTGACAGATGTAAAATTGTATTTTTGCACCAGTAAGCTGATTCCCAAAGTGCTATTATATTGTTATGTCTCGCTACCAATATAGATATTGGCATATCTCGGTATGGTGTGCAGTGTGTCCTTTAAAAAATTTGAGGAAACTGGAAAAATCTAGGAAAAGAAGTAAGAGGCCTAAAAATTATCTACAGCAGCAAAATAGTATCTGAAAGTCATGACCTCAATAAATGGCAGAAAATCAAACAAAAACCTGAAACGAGGTTCAAGAGATACATCTGGCCCTTCAGCTGATCACTGTTCACCAAAGCATCATCAGAAATGGATACAGTGGAAAGGTAGTTTTCATTTTTCAGCATGGCAGTATTCCCAAACACACATTATTGAAGCAGTGTGGAATCACCTTGAAAGTGAGCAAAATAAAAGGCAGCCAACATCCAAAAAAGAGTTTTGGATGTCCTTCAGGAAACCTGGAGAACTATACCTGAAGACTACTTGAAAAAATTACAAGAAAGCTTGCCTAAGAGCCTTCTTACCTGATACGACTTTCTTCACATTATGCTATCGCCATGAAGTTTTATTTTAAGTTTTTGATTGCTCTCACTGTGCTGCTAGCATGGCTATAGATGCTTTGTTAAGTCTTGTTTTGATTTTATTATGCTGGGTTTTGTGTGTGTAGAAATCCCTGACCCCAGCAGCTGGACCCTGAACCCCTCAGCCTCCTACGTGTACTACTGCTCCAATGAGACAGTCCATGGTGTTGAATATAACTTTACCCCAGAAACAAATGGGGTGGTCTTGGTGAGCGACATGTCCTCCAACTTCCTGTCCCGACCTGTGGACGTCTCTAAGGTGAGCTGGAAAAATGCGACTGAAAAATGTATATATTTAACTCTTGTGCCTCTGGGACCCTGTTCTTAAATATGTATTTAAGTTCTGTATTGCCATATTGGCTACCGGGGAATTTTGAGTGGGGAACATGTCCAAAAGTTCTTAGCTTCTTTTTGAACTTATAAGTTCCCTCTCGCCAAATCAAAGGCATTTTTTTTGTCTCAAAGTAGACCCGTAGTTGTAGGCAAGGCTGTATTTATTGTGCTCTCCTGCAATCTGCAGTTTGGGCTCATTTTCGCTGGGGCTCAGAAGAATGTGGGCTGTGCCGGTGTAACCGTGGTCATTGTGCGGGAGGACTTGTTAGGTCACGCTCTGAAAGAGTGTCCCATTGTCCTGGACTACAAGGTCCAGGCTGAGATGAACTCCCTGTATAACACACCCCCATGTTTCAGGTAAAAACTCACCAGTGTAAGAAGTTAATCTTTATCCTCCAGACTGAAGATGATCAATATGTCAATTTGTCACAAACTTTAATCTTTTTCGTCACTGGGTTCAGCATCTACATCATGAGCCTGGTTCTGGAGTGGATAAAGAACAATGGCGGCAGTGCTGCCATGGAGATGCTCAACAAGCAGAAGTCCTCCATGATTTATGACATCATCAATGCTTCTAATGGTTTCTATGTGTAAGTATCACATCAGCATTTAAATACGAGAATTCAGAGGAAAAAGCAAAATGATAATGAACAAATGGGTCAGGAAGTAAAACTCTACCAAACCTACATATTAGGAGTGCAATAAGGAGTTCAACCCAGAGCTGTGTGCTGTGTTGTTACGCCCCGAGTCTAGGCATGTAGAGACGCACATAAGATTTGAGGAGAGAGAAGCAAGTACCCACCCTGGGTCCCAAACCTAACATCCGAAACCGGCTATGAGTAAAAAAAAGGTGATTTTCTTTAATGTCAGGAAGCATAGCTCCAGGGTCAACCCAGGCCAAAATAATAAACAAAACCAACTAAGTCCTGCCAGAGGAAACTAACTAAACCCTAAGAACGAAACAAAACAAACAAATGACAATACTATCCCTCGCTTCCTAGCCCAGAAACAGGAGAAAACTGTTCAAAAGAAAAGGCGGCTCACCCCTTCAGCTTCAGCCTATGCACGCATAAGCACTGAGTTTACCCACAAGCATGCTTACACAGATACAAAGTAACCCAAAAAGTTGGAAACCAGGGCCAGGTCCATGTCTGCAGTCAAAAACTGCTCGCTCGCTTCTCTCTCTCCCGGCAGCTGTCAGAGCGGCTTTTTGAACGCAGTCACGTGCTCCATGGTCCAATCAGCAGCTCACTACTCTTCATTAGGGGAAGGATCTGCAGAGAGTCTTAAGACACAGTAAAGAGACAGAAACACAGCAGCTCACACAGACTTCTTATGGCCACGAGCTGTAACATGTGTCCACCTGCTCAGGTGTCCTGTAGACACAGCCTGTCGGAGCCGGATGAATGTACCATTTCGTGTGGGGAAGAAAGAGGGAGATGAAGCCTTGGAAAAGGAGTTTCTGGATGGTGCTTCCAAACGTGGAATGATCTCACTGAAAGGACACAGGTTCGTTTGACAAACATTTTGTGTGTATAGTGTTGCTCAATTAAATCTGATTTTTAGATGTAGATTTTGCAACCTAGTAGAATTAATTTCCCTTTTAAGGTTATAGAAACAGGGTGGCACATTGGTTAGTGCTGGTGCTTGGGACCTGGACTAACTGACAATTCAAAATTGGTGGTTGGTGTGAATATGATTTGAATGGTTCTCTGTATTGGCCCTGTAATAGACTGGTGATCTGTCCACGGTAAAGCCTGACTCTTACCTCATAACTACTAGGATGGATCAAGCAGACCCCATGGATGGAAGTGGAAACAATAACTTTAGCCAGGAGCACAGATGTTGGATTTGCTTTGTAATTTTGTAAAGACAGAGAAGGCAGAGTACGAAACACACTTTTTTTTTTTTTTCTCACCCTGCAGGTCAGTTGGAGGAATTCGCGCATCACTTTACAACGCTGTAACACTGGAGGACACTAAAGCACTCGCTGACTACATGAAGGAGTTCCTCAAAGATCACCAATGAAGCCTCTCCTACTGAATGCTGCCTGATCCCAGAGGGGCAGTTTCATTATGTTAATACAGTTTTTCAAAGAGGGAAAAAAACAACAACTTGTAACTCTTCTTTTAATCTCGTTGAGATCCACGTTGGATTTGAAAGTTGCACCTTTTTACATGCCTTTTATAACAACCTGGCATTGTTCCTAATAAGCTACTGCCTTTGCTAGTTATATATGTATGTAACATAGCCAGTAAACGAATTAAAAATAGTAATTCTAACAGGACTTATATGTGTAAATGTTCTAGGTGAATCTTGTTATTTGTAAAACCTGTACTTACATTCCAGTAAAAATTAACTTGACATTACTTTCATTTTGCAGTTGTTGTTTATTTTTTTTAAGCTACTTTTTTTTTAAACTGCTTTGCATTGCTGATGTTTTTTCTGTTTGATGAATGTTCAGGGGAGAAAGCAGAAACAGAAAATTTGGGTACATAAAGCAAATTAACCTTTTGCATATCTAAAAAGTTTTAACCAGGGGCAGCCTATATCTTTTTACACTTCATCAGTGAGAGATTAAGGACAAAAAATGATATCATAAACACACATAAGCTATATTAGCCAGGAAAGAATCAGCTGTGAATCACCCCTGCAGTGAAATGAGGTGTGCTCTGGTGCAACAGACTTAACATTTTCAGTCAAACAGTGCAGTAAAAGTTTAACCTTGCAACAATTTACTCTTAAGTAACAATGTGCAGTGCAGCCATAAGCAGAGTTACTCTTTTGCCTGTGAGGTTAAACAGTCACGTACTACTAACTAACTGGCTGCTGAAAGACAGAGCAGCTCTGTATGTAGGAGTTAACAGGTCTGTATAAGGACTGTGTCAGCATCAGAGAGACTGTGCTCCATGTGGGTGTCCAGAGGCCTGTTCATTGGTAAATGGCCTGCATTTGTATAGCGCTTTTCTAGTCCGTAAGGACCCCAAAGCGCTTCACACTACATTCAGTCATTCACCCATTCACACACAGGCGATGGCAAGCTACATTGTAGCCACAGCTGCCCTGGGGCGCACTGACAGAGGCGAGGCTGCCAGACACTGGCGCCACCGGGCCCTCTGACCACCACCAGTAGGCAAACACGGGGTTAGTATCTTGCCCAAGGATATTTGCCATGCAGCCAGGATGCAGCCTGGGATCGAACCACCGACCTTCTGATTAGTGGATGACCTGCTCTGCCACCTGAGCTACAGCCACCCCATTGCCGCCTTTGCCCTGCTAACGTCTATCGGGACGGCGCTGCAGTGCATTTCACCCTGACCTTTGACCTATGGGGAAAATGAGAATTATATTACAGCAATAGATTGTATCATGTATCCTTAGGCCAACTAAAAATACATTTAAATGTAGTCTTGGTTTACAGTCTTGATTTTTAGTTGAACATGAATTGTGTAAACAGTGCAAAGCTAGAATGTACTATGACTGATTTTTTTTAACCCATCCATAAAATCTGCAAACAGCAACTGTGACCTAATAAGCCCTGTGAAAGCTCACCAAACAAGAGAGGAAAAACAAAACACATTAAGAAAAATTATTTGCAGTATAAGAATAAAAACAAAACTGATTTAAACAGATTCAGCATTAAGACAAACAGATTCTAGTATTTTTCAGTGGCCAAGTTTAAAGCAGACAGTTGGACCTTCTTTCCACTGGTACTATTACAGTTTTTTTCAATCGCTAACAAGCGCCTACCCATACTTCAGATACTTTTTCTAAACTCTTAACACAGACTCACACCTACAAAACACAATTGGCCAAATGGATAATTTTCTTCTCAAAAATACATTTTGTTAAATATATACTAACTCTTCATTTCAAAATAGAACACATCTTTCTCTGCACACACTAACTGTACAAAAACACTATAAATCTGACTCAAAATGAAATTAGTCTGTCAAAGAATAACACTTGTTTTCACTTCACAAGGTACATGCAGTCAATCAAAGTACACCAGGTTTCAAAATACTGGCTATTATTGACATTACAAAAACTGCATAGACTTTTATGTTTCAGTTTTACAGGTATTTGCATGCGAAACATGCAATCCACCATTTTGACACCAGAAATGTCTTGGTTGGTAACTGTATGTCCACATGTACAGTAATGTTCACATTCAAAAGCATTCCAGTAAAAAGCAAACAAGTTTATGTTTCTTTACTGTTTACTACAGGAGGTACAGTAGAAACACAGTATGATAGGACAGAGAAAGTTTTACAGTATTGCTTACAGTGAACAAAATATCCATGAAACACACAAGAGCATTCTGAACAAAAAAACAACAGCAAAAAGCCAAGATCAAAAGGGTGGGAGGGGGAGGGGGCTAAAAAAAGGCAAAAACTTTGCATCTAATCTCTGCGATCTTCAGGGTTAGGCCACATTTTTTCATCAACATCACATCTGATGTTATCCAAGTCGATGCACCTGGGATAGAACCGCCTGGTATGTCGGATCCACCCTTGGCAATCGTCAACTGTGATGTCCCTGGAGCCAGCATCCATGGCTTCGAGGAGGGACATCTGGTCATGTGGCTGATGGTCATAAACCTTCCACCTCCATGCAGAAAAGAACTCCTCTATGGGGTTGAGGAAAGGTGAATAGGGTGGAAGGAAGAGACTTACCAGTCTTGGGTGGACTTCAAACCATGTTGTTATTGCTTGCGAGTGATGGAAAGCCACATTGTCCCAGGTAATTACAAAGGTCCTCATGTTTTCACCCTCCTGACCCTGCTCTGGAACCAGGCGCTGGTGGAGATCATTGAGAAAGGCAAGCAAGCGCTCTGTATTATAGGGTCCAACCTGACATCTGTGAAGGAGTAATCCTGCATTTGCAATTGCTGCACACATGGTAATGTTTGCCCCTCTCTGTCCTGGCACATCAACTGTGGCCCTTTTTCCAATTACATTTCGTCCACGTCGACGCCTTTTGGCCAGATTGAATCCTGCCTCATTGATGTATATGAATTTATGAGGGGCCTGGTTGGCCTCCAATTCCATAACTCTCTGAAACAAAGTTTATGTAAGTCATGTTATTACTGTATACCATACTGTACTGTAACCTAGTATTGTGTAGGTTACCTACTTGCAAAGTGCAAAGCTTATAGAACTGGACATTGGATTGAATATACACTATACCTGGACATATTGTCGTCGTAGCTCCTTGACCCTCTCACTGTTCCTCTCAAAGGGAACAGCGTAGAGCTGCTTCATCCGCACTCTGTGTTTGGACAATGTCCGCGTAATGGTTGTGAGGCTGATTCTATCGATATTGTCAAATATCTCATGGTCCGCCACAATTCTAGTTTGAATTTCACGCAGTTTTATTGCATTATTTGCAGTAACCATTTCTACAATGGCAAGCTCCTGATCATTACTGAGGAGCTTTCCTCTTCCCCAGAGGGTGGAAGACATTGCATTCTTTAGAAAGACAAAAAATTCAACATATGCATTACTGTATGACCATATTGACATGTCAAGTGAGAATAGAAACAATCCATGTAAAATGCAATACTTACCTGTTGGTTTGTTGAAAGATGCGTATAATGGAGGCAACCGTTGACCGCCTCAAATTGGGCTGCACTCTTTCACCAGCCTCTCTTAGTGAAAGACCATGGTTGATTACATGGTCAATGATAGTGGCACGAATTTCATCACTGACTACTGTTCTTGCAGCCCTTGGAATGCCACCACCACGCATTCTTACACCTCTACCTTGCCCTCTCCTTGGGCCTGCTCTTCTCCCTGGGCCCCTTGCTCTTACTCTTCCTCGACCAGACATTACAGTGTTTGTCTTTTTTTTGTTTCCAAAAACATCACTCCTCAAGGTCTTGCCTTATAAACCCCACTGAGTCTAAGCCAGAATGGAAGAAGCTGTCGTTGGCCCAATTTACCCAACATAAATCAGCTGTGTGTCAATTATTCAATTGTTTGTTTATTATCAGCTGATATATATTTTTGATATTGATATTGTTTTTGTACTGATATCATTGCAGAAGCAGAGGTTTTTATACTGTATCTACGGTTTGGAATATTGTTTTTGCTATTGTGGGATGTTGTGTGTTAACATTCGTAAATACTACAAAAACAGTCCATAATTTTGTTGGGAGGTATAGCTTGTCTGTTAAGAAAATGTAAGCATTGTGGAAATGTGTTCACTGACTGCATATTGGGTGAACACGACATGAAATGTAAGAATGGTATGGCCACAACAGACCGATGCTGTGCTAATTGTGTTTAGAGTTTTGCAAATGTGACAACTGTTTGGACAAACGCTTGTTAGCGACTGGAAAAAACTGTAACTCTTACAAAAGGGTAGGGGATAAAGATTTCAGGAGTAGTTCTCGTAGATGCTCCCTGGATATCGTAGCCATCAAACTCTATAACACTAAAAAAAGAAGAAGAAAAATCTCAAATAGGAAGGAAGAAGAGATTTTTAAATAACTGTGTTTTTTCCTTAATATGTTCTCTCACCCATGTGTACTGCTCCCTATAAGCGTCAACAAAATAAAACTAGATGTTTTAGCACCAATTATCCTCTAGGTGGAAGTGTTCATCAAGAAACTTATTTTGCATAACCCAGGCATGATTGAATGGAGTCTTTCAAGCTTTGCCCATCCCATTTAATTATTAGTCTTTAGTGATATGTTATCTTGTAATCACACAGCCAAGATTGGCATATTACACAACAAAAATTATAGTGTTAGTATGATATTGTGGCACAAAAGAATAGAGACAACTGAAACAAGTAATCTCCTCAGAAAAAGAATTTGGATTATAGTCTTGTTCTCCTGTCTAGACACAAACACATGCATACATAAATGCATGTTCATGGTATTGTTTACTCTCATAGGGTCAACTGAGCATCATAGGTGAAGCATTCTCAGCTGAAGAAAGAAAGCATACATCTCTACTTCAGAATCAGAATCAGAAAGGGGTTTATTGCCAAATGTTGAGCAGGTTTACAACATTAGGAAATTGCTGCGGTGCTTCAGTGCAAACATAGTGTCATAAATAGCACTTAAATAGACATGAAAAAATAAAAGTAGGGATAAGAATTAAAAGTGCTACGTAGAAAGATATGTGCATGAGCTATACATGAGATATATACATGAGAATAAGAATTAGAATTAAGAGTGCTACGTAGAAAGATATATACATGAGTGCTTGGAACCCTGAAAGTAATTCAATTCAAATCAGTTTTATTTATATAGCGCCAAATCACAACAACTGTCGCCTCAAGATGTTTTATATTGTAAGGTGCACCCTACAATAATACATACAGAGAAAAACCCAACAATCATATGATCCCCTATGAG